CCGGCGTCCTGCCAGGTGGGTGCCTCGCCGCGGTGGCCCCGTGTACGGCATCAGGGTACCCGGGGAACCGACACCCCAAGGTGCTCGACGCAGGGCATCCCGTGGGGTGGTGTCCGGGGTCGGCAGAGCTTGGGGGGGAGGGGGGTCCTTGGGGACCGGGGCCATCACCAGCCCCATGCCAGGAGCCCTGGAGGGACGCGGCCTCCACGCACACCCCTGGTGGGTCCCTCCCGGCGCCTCCGCGTGCGGGATGAGCAGGCTAATCCCATTTTAATCCCAGATTACGTGCCACGTGAACCGCTAACCAAAGTGGGCTGCGGCATGGCCATCGGGGCAGGGGGGCCTGGGATGGATCCCCCCCATCCAGGAGTTTAAGGGTGAGCGCCAGGCATCCCCACTCGAAACTTGTTGGGGGGCTCAGAGCCTCCTGGCAGGGCTGGGGACCAGGAGAGCAGCTGGGTTGGCCCAGACTCCTTGGATGGGAAGAAGCGAGCAGCCAGAGGAGGTGGAAATGCTCCCTTCAGCTGCTCCTGGATGGAGAGGGCGGATTGCTGCTATTCCCCACCTCGCCCCAGCCAGGGAAACTGAGGCACAGAGCAGCCCTGTGTCCACAGGAGGGGGGGGGGACGGGCAGGGTACACCCTCCACCTCAGGGGATGGAAAAATCCCAGGGGCCAGGCACTGGCAGCTGGTGGCTTTTAAGGCCACCGAGGCGTCCCTCGGCAGGGCCGTGCCGGGAAGGGTGCAATGGCACGGAAGCAATGGGCTGTCAATAGCCGAAGGGTCGCTCCCCTCTGCCGGGAGATGCTCTGGCGGGGAGGGAAAGGACGAGAAACAGGACAAAGGAGGAACCGGACACCGGTGAGACGTGGGTCGGGGACCCACGTGCTCCCCGCCGGCTCGGCTCTGCCGCGATCGAGTTGCCGGTGGGGCCCCCGTGTGCGGCGATGCCTCGGTTTCCCCCAGCGAGGCAGGGAGGAGGCGATGCTCGGCGCCTCTCCTGTGCTGTGTTTGTTTGGGGGTTGCAGTGGGAAGAGGAGGAGGAGGAGGCCGGGGCTGGGCTGGGAAGCACCGGACACCGTTCCCAGGACTGTCGGGAACCGTCTGTTCAGGGAACTTGTGACCCCGCCGTGTGTCCCCCCCCTCTGCTGCTGGCGGGGAGCCGGGGCAGCTGCGGGAGCAGCAGGATGCCCGTGCCCAGCACGAAGGCAAGGGCAAGGCAGGCAGTGAGGAGGAAGAGGAGGGAGAGGGGAGGAAGGCTGGGGGTCCCTGCCTACTCCCCCCCCCCGGGCGAGGGGGGTCATTGCAGCCTGGCCCTTGGCCCAAGTGCTGGGCGCTGATGGCTTTGGCGGCTGCGAAAAGTCAAATCCGGATTTCCTCGGGGTGGGGAGGAGGGAACTGGCCTCTTCCCGCTGCAGCGGCAGCCCTCCCCATGGCCCCCCCCCGGGATGTGCTGTGCAGCCGGGGGTGGCACCCCTGCAGCCTGGCGAGCCCCCTCCGGCACGTGGTCTGTCTGTCTGTCCATCCTTCCCTCCGTCGCTCTTCCTCTTCCCGTGCAGCCCTGCCCAGCACCTTTCTCTCCCCGCTCCGGCGAAGCACCGTGGGTACCCGCAGCATCGCCCCGGGAGGGGGGCCACGGTGTTACCCCCCCCCTTCACCCTGCTCCCCCTTGCCCTCCTGGCCCGGAAAATCCCAAACATGTGCTGCATCGGCCTTATCTTGGCCGAGCAAGGGAGCGTGCAGGGAACCTGCCAGCGAGGGCTGCCGGGGAGGTTGCCATGGGGAAAGAGCCTGCCATTGGGGCGGTGGCTCCCTGCTTGCAAAAGATAAGATGTCCCCACATCCCCTGTCCGAGGGGGGGGGGGCGGCACCGGAGCTGGTTGTCCACCCCTCGCCAGCCCTTCGTCTCCGTCGCGGCATCTCTCCGCACCCCTGGCTCAGGCTTGTTTTCCTTCCCCGCCGGCATCCGCATCCACCCGTCCCCGCACCCACCCTCCCGCCGGCCTCTGCCGCTTCCACTGCCTCCTGCCATTTGCTATCTCATCCATCTGCTCGCTGCCACCGCCGCCACGTGCCACCGCGTCCCCGCCGCCTGCCCCCCCAAGCCCGCCCGTGCCCCCCAGCGCCGTGGGGTGCCAGCCGGAGGCGGGGGGCTGCCCTGGCTCTGCCGCTGGAAAAGCGTGAGCTCACAGGTGCGCGGATAATGCCGCCTTGTACCGCGCTCGATGCCAATCTGGGGGTGCCCGTTCTACCGGCACCGGCTCCTGCAGACCCTTGGGAGGGCTGGAAGGTGCTGAGCATGGGTGTGAGAGGGTCAGGACCCCCCGCCAAGTGCCAAAGCCGGGGGTTATTTGTGGCAGGGTGGTCTCAAAGGAGGGGTGATGCCTGCATGGAGAGGCTCAAGCCCAGAGCCGCCGGCAGAGCCTGCTCGTCCTGGCTTAACCCTCGGAAGAGCGAGCCCAGGGCGGTACCTCGTGCCGGGCTGGTTGCCGGCAGCTGGAGGATGCTCCGGGCTTTGTCAGATCTGGTCCTTCTCCATCTCTACATCCTGCAGGGATGGGCTCTGCGCCCGTGCTGGGAGCCGTGGGGCTGGGGGACAGCGGGGCTGGGGGTCCCCAGAGGCGATGGCATCTCCCCAGCCCCACGCACAGGCTGCTGGGGGGGGGGGCTTCAAGGCTGGAAGGCTCTGCCCTGCTGTTGCTGTTGTTGCCTGGATTGCACGAGGTTTTTCCCAGCGCCCTCCCCTCTGAAAGGAGAAGTTTTGAGGAGAATGGGGAATTTTCCCCTTTGTCTGTGGCATTGTGGGTTTAAAGCACAGGGAGGGCTCAGGCCCCAGGGGCTGTGGGGCAGGGGCTGAGCACAGCATGCCCGTCCCGCTGCTGCTGGAGCCTTCTCGAGGCTGCTCGCTGCCGGTTGACAAAGGGCTTCATTACCTCTGCTCCGCTTGCCAACGCTCGTCAGCAGCCACCGCAGGGCAGCGGGGCCGGCAGCCGGCACGGGCAGGAGCGGTACGCAGCAGGGCAGGGTGTTGCGGGCACCGGGGGGGGGTTTGCAGGGAAGCTGGGAGGACAAGGTTGTACTTCACATCGTTGTCATCCCGCAAGCCACTCTCACCTTTCTCGTCTCCTTTGCAGAGGCAGCACCCGAGCCCCAGCCCGGCGTTAGCACCCAGAGGGATGTGGAGCCACAGAGGCAGCGGTGAGTGGGGGTCCGGTATGCCCCAGCACCTCTCCCCTGCCCCGGGGCATAGACCTGGAGCCATTCGGCCACCCCGGGGATGGTGGCATCCCCCTGGCAAGCCTGTCCTGCTGCCAGCGTGTGAATATTTGACAGTGGGACCATGCTGGCCTTGTGCCACATTAGGGTCCAGTGCGCGGGGGGCTGCCGGGCTCAGCCCCGTGGCGGGAGGGTGGTGGGAAGCTGGGCTCTGTCCCCCACCTCACCCTAGGACCAACCTCAGGGTGCTCCGTGCCCACCCTGGCAGTACCCCGAAGCCCCTGCTCTCCCCATGCAGGACCCTGTGACTGACACAGCCCCTCCAGCCCGCAGCTGAATGGAAAGACTGCAGAAGGTAAGGGGGGAGG